ACGAAATCGCAGATGAACTGAGAGGAAATCGCAGATGAACTTAGTTCATCTGCGATTTTAGTCACTTGTATCGTCTATTTATACCATAAAAAAATAAAAAATAAAATAAAAAAATTATCTGCGAACGTACAAGTCGCTAAGTACGGATGTGCTTTAGCGACTTGTACGTTCGCAGATGGCTTGGTGAAATCGCATATGAGTTTAATCCATCTGTGATTTTGATGACTATTTTTGTAATTTGGATTTTTTTTTTGGTTATTTTTACAAAGTAATTAACTATTTTGGTTATATTTGTAATTTTCTCTTAATTTTAAACCCCCTTAGTGAACAGTGCTATATTCCTACTGGACCACCTCTAATTTTATTATTATTATTATTATTTTCTTAATCATTTGCTGTCGAATATCCGATTTCAGTTGATAATCTCGATCGTTCTGCCGACTCACCCATTCTTTGGTTAAGCCCTAAATACATTCCACCGCCTACTGCTTCGTCTTCCTCCTCAATCAAAATCAGAGCCGCCGGTGTCGTAGAAACAGAATCCTCCACCGCCAGGTCGCCACCTCGGTGAGTTTCTTCCCGATACTTATCTCCGGATTCCTCTGCATGATTCCCACCGCTTTTGGATTCACCGTCTCTGCTTCTTCTTTTTCCCTCGGTCCACCGTCTCCATCGTCAGCTTCTAATCCTCACACTCTTAACACTAACGATTTTCAGTCCTCATCACAGAAACCCTCTATTTCTCCCTCTTCCAGTCCATCTCTTGATCCTTTTCAAAGAGGCGCTTCACCGACCATCACCCTATTTTTTTCATCTGTTATCTCCTCACAAAACCCACCCCTATCACAACCACTGTTAGCCAATCGAATATTCACAGATACAGATATACTTCATCGGCCTTCCAACCGTCCAACATATGAATTATACGCATCTTCTCTTTAGCTGCTGTGAAACGACTCTCCTTTCGGCGGATCTGTCTTCCCTTCAGGATTATGTGTGTTTTGTTGTTCAAGATTGTGTATCCTTCAACCCAGGTAAATCGAACCCACAATTATTCAATAGCCTTTTTAAAAAAAATCAATTTATGTTTCTATTTTTTGGAGTCGACTGTAATTGTGCCCTACGATTTTCAGTTTTGGGGTTAATCGATTCAAAGGAAGGTTTGCATCGGACCGCGATTGTTATCTCAATGGTTAAATTTGTGTAACTTCTTTTCAGTTACTGATTTTCAACGATTCTTTGTAGAAAAAATATCAGCCGAAGGTAAGCCTTTTTTTTTTTTTTTTATCTTGATTGACTTCTGAGAAGTTGAAAGCTTCATGTTTCCCTGCTCTTTTTTTACAAATCGGCTCTTAGAAGGTTCCAAAGGCCATTCATGCCCTCAATTGGGTAAAATAAAATGTTCATGCAAACTTTCCCAAAACACATACAATAGGGATTATTGTTTGAAACGAAGTTGCTGAAGGTAATGATTTAGATCTTCAAGATTTTGTTTTGTTTTACTTTGAATGAGGTTGAATGATTTTGTTTATTGTAGTAAATTTGAGTTTAAATTTATTATGACCGATGAGTTGTTTTTTTTTTTTGTTTTACTGTAGGGCGAAGATGATATTAAAGTGGTCGATTAAAGAAACATGTATGCTATCAGTCAATTTATATGTCAATATAGTTTGTTGCTTTAGTTTATGGGAAACCCTTTGATTATCAGTAGTTTATGGTATATAATCTCATTGATCATTTTTTTATATGAATTAATTTGATAGGGAGCTCTACTCTGTCATTTTACTAATATTTTTAATAAAGTCAATTTCTATTCCTTTTAAATCGGCTTATAAATGCATTTGATGAAGTAGCAATTTCAGTGTGAAAGTTATTGAAATTACAATGGTTGTTGGTGATGATTCACACATTGAACTGATATCATGGAATTTGTTCTGAACTACAGAATGTTTTCCAGCATATGAACCATGATTTTGACAGATTTAAGGTTTGTTACTTACCGGAACTTATAACGATTGATTACATTTAGCAACATAAACTGATATTTTCATTAAGGTACAACTGAAAGATGTGAAAATGATGAAAATACATACCTCCTAAGTAGATTTGTACCATAATTTTCTAACACAAATGGTTTTTGAAATTTATTTGGGCTCAAAACAAAAGAAAAAACATTTTATTGAAAAAAAAACCATTTCCAAATAAGTTTCATAAGTGAGTAACCTCAAAAAAAAAAATCACAACCTCACGGACTACGAGTAAAGATGAGCAACTGTTTCAACCATCTGACTGGATTTTGAAACACGAATAACATAATGAGACTTACTATGTTACACATAACCACAAACGATAAAAATTACATAATTAAGGCTGTTACTCTAAACTAAAGGGTAATATAGTCATTTACATACTTTGGTTTAAAATAGAAACATAATATGTATGTGGGTGAAATACAACATTATTTGTTTTAGGATATATTTTAGAACATTGTGCGTTCAAAAAACTATCTGATTCTAACACTTTTATATTAAACATATGATTAAATGCACTAAATTTATATGTTCGTAACATATAACGTTTTACTTTAATTCCTTTTATTAGATAGCTGCAAAACTTTTTGTTTTTTTAATATTGTCAATCGGTTTAAGCTTTTTAGTGATCAGTCGGCGTGTGAAAATGATGCTTTAGTTTAATAATCATCTCATTCGAATTATCTAAAATCATGAAGGGTCTAAAAATAAAAATAAAATAGCGAGGCCTGGTCTTTGTGAGATCAAAATGATTTTGGTCGCTACTTCATTAAATGAATGTAAGTACCCAGGTGTTGCTTTCTGAAAATGACCACTTTACCCTTGGACCTAAATTGAAAAAAAAAAAAAATTGTTGTTTTGGCTGAACCATTGAGGTATTAATATTTTGCCGGTGGATGTTTGGAAGTTAACGATCGATAGATATTGTGACAACTAAAATTTCCATTATAAAAATGTGTTCTTTTGTCGTGGCAATGCAACCAAACTTTGTAGGTATGTTCGTCCTTTATGTTACATTCAAAATTTCTTTTCTTTAGGTTATACGACATGAATCATGGGTACGCATCAAGGATGATGATGATATCAAGAAAACCATTGCATCATTATATGCGGCAAAACTATAATAAAATATAATCCTAATTGATCCATTTTCACATAATAGATTTCATGTTCAACTAGCAAAGAACTCGCGGCTATGCCGCTTTTGGGGTAATATGGGGAAAATCGGCAAACTTTAAAAAACATGTGCTGAAAGTGTAAATCACCACAAATAGGAGAGAAAGTCAACAACCCCTAAAATTAGATGTCAAAAGTGTACAACAACCAAAAGAAGGGACACTCGTCGAGAAAATCCAAAAATATTGTGGCAATAATGTGAAAGTTGTCAAAGGTGAGAAAATATGGTGACAAAATTCTAAAGGAGGTTTTTTGTGCTTTTTGTGTCAAAATGTAAAAGTTTTGACTACAAGAACGAAAAGTGTCAAATTTATTAAAGATTTGTGTCAAAAACACTAAAATATAAAACTTTTCACTGCAAGGACGAAAAGTGTCAAAGTTACTAAAGATTTTTTGGCAAAACCCTAAAAGCACAAAAACTTAATCAAAACACAAAAATCTAAAAGTTTTGACTTTAAGGATTAAAAGTGTCAAATTCACTAAATATTTATGGCAAAAACCTAAAGACATAAAAGTTACTATTGCTAACTTCCTTTAGATCTAATATATATAGAATAGGTTGGAGATGAAAGATTATATGATCAGATTGGTGGGAAACTGTCAGCAATAATCATTTCAATGGAAAATGCTTTGCTTATTATATAAGCATCAAATTTTGCGAGTAATTTCGAATATCATAATTAGGTCAAAGTCAAATTCCCGACCATATATTGGGAATACACAACCCCAGTTGTTAATGGGGGATTCTATATGCACCCGGTTAAAACCATCTTTAAAAGTCAAAATGGTTTTAACTTGTATTAACCCAATTTGATGGGACAAACCCTCTTTAAAAGTCAAAATGGTTTTGACTTGTATTAATCCAATTTGATGGGACAAATGCTGATTAATTAATTCATATAATAAAGATATGCAATAAATGTCTCCATCATTTACTACCGTTAGATAATAAAATAAAGAAAATGAATAAATAAAATATCTTAATTTACTTTAGGTTTCTTTTATGAACTTATTAAAATTTATATTTATGACCCTTTAACATATATTTAACTTTTAATTTACACCTTCAACTATTAAATATTGAAATTGTCATATAATATATCAATTTTATTTTATATACTTACATAATCCAATTTATTTTTTATCATTACATAATCAATTTTATTTTGTACAATATCTCAACTTTATTATAGGGATTTTCATATAATATTTCTAACTTTAAAATTTTATTTAAGTTTTAATTTTAGTGATATCAACCGGACAACGTACCTAGCGAACATGAGTATAGATTTGTTCATATTAGTTCATTTAACCTTAAACGATAAATAACGATCACGAACAATTAAACGAACAATAAAAAACATAATATGATATTTTTTCACAACTATAATAAATAAAATTATCATTTTCATTTACCATCGTTTTGTCAAACACTGTCATATTTTAATTTTATTAATTATCACGGACATCAACTATATTAATATTACAGTTATTATGTGGTTCATTCGGTGGAATATATGCATTAAGTCGAGCATTATACAAAATTTCCCATCTAGCAGCACGTTCTGATCTATGGTGACACCAAAGTGACAAAACTATAGGTATTGGATGTGATTCTTGTAAATCAACTTTTACGTAATGGCCATTATAAAAGAAGGCGATAACAATAGATCTATGATGTGAGATGTCTTGCGGGCCATGCCAAAGCGGAAAACAGGTCGACGAACCTTGTTTGTCTAAAAAATAGACGATTACACCATACTTATTAACAATGAGGAATCCAGTTCCCAACATAATCAACCAATATTCACTTTGTGCAGAACCCAATCCAGTGAAACTCAACGAGTGATGTATGTTGTTTATATCATCCTGAAAAATCATTGCATATCGTCCCTAATTTTCTAATAACTCGTTGTGTAATTCTGAGCGGATTTGACGCCAATAATTTTGACTATACCCGAGGGAGACAGCTATTGCCTGAAATCCACAATTTCCATCTCCCTCCACATCTTCAATGTTTGTAACGTATGGATGAAATTCATTTGGAATTTCACTCATAAGTGAATTTGAATAAAATGTTGAAGGTTGTTGAAACGAAAATGTATTTTGCCTGTCTGGTTCCTGGTTTAAATCAAACTGATTAGAACCATTATAATCTAACATAGACGTCGCAAAACTATGTCTACGAGGATATTGCGTTATTGGATCTTGAGTAGGCGGAACAGTAGGTCTTGTTTGTGTACTCAACCACTGAACGCTGCCTTCACTGAAGAACTATCGCTCTAACCCTGACCGAGTATCCTCTAAATAATACTCATGCACAGATCCCGACAAAGATCCGGGATGATAACGGTACACGTGGAACCCACTCCGCAGGATGCGTCCCTCTGGGGGTTCATCAAGGACTTTTCGGCATGTAGGATGGCATATATGATCCTTGATAACCCAAACACTAGCAGAAAACCGACCCGAGATCTGACTTTCCAAACTCACTCACAATTCCAAAGCGATACATATTCCCAACATCCACCTAATAGTAGTAGAAGATGGCATACCCGCAACATCTGGAGGAATCCGGATCACCTTCTTCTGACATAACCGACCCTGCTACACTTGTAGCAGCCTAAACCCTTGGAATGTCAAACCCCCTTGTGCACTTTCTTGTATGTGCTACACTGATTTCGGCCCTGCTGGCCTTTTACCCGATGATCAGAAGTCATGGGTCTCTTCCCGGGACCCTCTACTATACACACCTGGCACGAACCTCTCTTCTCAAAGTGCTCCAAATCGATCTCGCATCTGCAACTTTTTGGAAATCATATCCTTCAGGGTCTGACGCCCTGCCACGCTCACTAGCTCGCCTGCCAATGGCTAAGCTACAACAACTGGAACATCCTCTATCCCCAAAACGGGTCATAAACTTCTCCCCAAAGCTTCTCAGATTCTCCAAGACTCTCACTAGAGATGCACAAACAGCCAATCAGATCCGGTTTGATGACGTCGAACAGAAACCGGTTTCATCAAAAATCCGATCCGATTTCATACCAGTTTTGTCCGGTTTTCCCTTCCACGAATCCGGATTGGTTTAATCCGATCCGGTTTGGATCCAATCCAAAATTTACAAAAAAAAAATTATGCGTGACTTTGTGGCAATGTCAAGCCTTAAGTTTTTTCGAGCCTTGATGAACTATATCGTTTGTAATGCGTGAATTAAGGCGACAATTTTGTGTATATATATATATATATATATATATATATATATATATATATATATATA